TGACGTAGACATTTTATGACGCTTGTTGATGCACAAAACCGGAGGGGTCTTGGAACAACATAAATCCGACCGTGAATCTGCAAGAAAGTACACAAGATGTATTGTGGTTCACCCCAGTGTTTGGGCTACGTCCACACTGATGTTGATTGTATTTCTCTGTATGAATGTATGGATTACAAGTGTGAGGGGGAGTCCCCTAGAGAAAGAGAGAGTTTGAGAGAGTTTCTCTGTTTGTGAGAAGGTTGCTCTGAATATGAGAGCCTCTGTTTGGGGATGTGAGGCCTGAGGATTGTGAGGGTGAGGAGTCCCTTTTATAGACTTAGGGCTCATCCCCTTTTACATAAATCATGGGCTCAATATCTGGAAGCCCAAGTAATGAGGCCCAATATAATATGGTACCAACAGTAGTCCCCCAAGTCTTCAGTCAAGAGAATCTTTTGGCTGGAGGCTTGAAATTCAGTCCATGTGTGGGCCGAAGTAATTAGATGTCGTCTAGAACTGAATACTCGACATGAGGCGGTACTCAATGTGAAATGATGCTCAACTAGAAGTAGCACATGTTGCGAGGCTACTCGGCTTGTGGCTTATGTTGCCTTGGTTGGCTTGGCTTGTGGCGTTGAAGGTGAGGGAGTCCCTTTTATAGAATAAGGGCTCGCTCATCAATACATAAATGATGGGCTAGAGTTGATGCTCGCGACGAGGCGGTTGCTCAGCAGGCGACGATGCTCTCTAATGAAGGTGAGGGAGTCTCTTTTACAGAATAAGGGTTCGCTCCTCAATACATAAGTGATGGGCTAAGAGTCTCTTTCTAATGAAGGTAAGGGAGTCCCTTTTATAAAATAAGGGTTCACTCCTCAATACATAAATGATGGGCTGGAGTTGATGCTCACGGCGAGGCGGTTGCTCAACAGGCGGCGATGCTCTCTAATGATGGTGAGGGAGTCCATTTTATAGAATAAGGGCTCACTCCTCAATACATAAGTGATGGGTTAAGAGTGATGTTCGCGGCAAGGCGGTTGCTCAGCTGGCATCGATGCTCTCTAATGAAGGTGAGGGAGTCCCTTTTATAGAATAAGGGTTCGCTCCTTAATATATAAGTGATGGGCTAAGAGTCTCTCTCTAATGAAGGTGAGGGAGTCCCTTTTATAAAATAATGGTTCGCTCTTCAATACATGAATAATAGGTGCCCTCTAATGAAAGTGAGAGAGTCAATTTTATAGAATAAGGGTTCGCTCCTCAGTACATAAATAATGGGCTAAGTCCCCCAAGTATTTTTCATGAGGCCCAGTTGCGGAAGCCCAATATATGGTACATAGTGTAGTCCCCCAAGTCTTCAGTCAATAAGGTCTGTTGGCTGGAGACTTCAAATTCAATCTATGTATAGGCCGAAGTGGCAGTTGTTCGGAGGCGGTCTTTGTATACCATGCACTGAAACTTTGTAGGTAAAGCTTTGAAAGTGAAGTTTTATAGGTGAGGCTTTGAAAGTGAAGCTTTGAAGTTGAAACTTTTGTAAATGAAGCTTTTGAAGTCGAAGCTTTGTAAATGAAGCTTTCGAAGCTGGAGCTCTTGTAAATGAAGCTTTCGAAGCTGGAGCTCTATAAATAAAGCTTTCGAAGCTAGAGCTATGTAAATGAAGCTTTCGAAGCTAGAGCTCTATAAATGAAGCTTTCGATGCTGGAGCTCTGTAAATGAAGCTTTCGAAGCTGATTGACATGAGTGATGCTCATGAATATTTATGTTGATTGACATGAGTGATGCTCATGGATGCTGACATGAGTGATGCTCATGGATGCTGACATGAGTGATGCTCATGAATGTTGATATGAGTGATGCTCATGAATGTTTATGTATGATTGACATGAGTGATACTCATGTATAATTTTGAAGTACTGGACGTACTTTTGATCACCTAGTTGGTGATAATAGCAGCAGGCTGCCGAATAATTTTGGAGTACTGGACGTACTTTTGATCACCTGGTTGGTGATAATAACGGCAGGCTGCTGAATAATTTTTGGAGTACTGGACGTACTTTTGATCACCAACCCGAATAATTTTGGAGTATTGGACGTACTTTTGATCACCTGGTTGGTGATAATAACGGCAGGCTGCGGAATAATTTTGGAGTACTAGATGTACTTTTGATCACCTAGTTGGTGATAATAGCAGCAGACTTGCTGAATAATTTTGGAGTACTGGATGTACTTTTGATCACCTAGTTGGTGATAATAGCGGCAGACTACTGAATAATTTTGGAGTACTGGATGTACTTTTAATCACCTAATGGGTGATAGTAGCAGCAAGCTGCTGAATAATTTTGGAGTACTGGACGTACTTTTGATCACCTGGTTGGTGATAAGTAAGTGGGTGTTCGGTCAGACAAGAGATCACCATGAGCACGTGGCTCATCAGTCTACAAGTTGGTAGACTTCTTTAATCAGCAACAATGTTGATCAGTGGATCTAGTTGCTCAATAATTCCTGACAATAAAGGATAATATAAGTACGACCCTATAATGAATAAATCAAATTGACAAAGTTTGTCAAGGCAAAATATTGTATTATGTGCCTTCTGTGAATAAATGATTTATTCTGTTGTGTGATAAATGACATGTTGCATAAATCAACAATATATTAGGTATTGCCTAAATGTGTGTGTGTGTATATATACTTATGAATAAATGATTTATTTAGTTGCTTGATAAATGACATGCTGCATAAATCAACAATATATTAGGTATTGCCTAAATATGTGTGTCTATATATAATCATGAATAAATGATTTATTCAGTTGTTTGATAAATGACATGCTGCAGAAATCAACAATATATTAGGTATTGCCTAAATGTGTGTGTGTGTGTGTGTGTGTATATATATATATATATATAAAATCATGAATAAACGATTTATTCAGTTGTTTGATAAATCACATGTTGTATAAATCATTAACGTGGTAGTAATCATGTGATATCAGAAATAATATTATTTAATCATAAGTCATTATCACATAAAAATAATAAAATTATTATTTTATAATTAGTCATCATGACAAAAATAATAAGATATTAAATAAACAATGATAATTTTAAACAAATCAGCCCAAAGATAAAGTGCTTATCTTTTTCCATGGGGGTGGTTGACAGTTGCAGATGGTTGGTGCGCACTTCGCCTAATGAGTACTGGAGAGTTTTCCTTTTTCTTTTCTCTTTCCACTGCACCTCTTTCTCTCCATCTGTCTCTGTGCTGCTGTCATGCATGGTGCACCAATTAAGCATTAATATCTTTTTTACAGTTTGTCGCGGAATCTTATTACCGGACTATACCGACTTGCCAGAGATCTGGCTTCCACTTGGTGACGCTGTTCTTTTCCACTTTGGAAAGCAGCCAGCTCATCCACTTCTTGTTTGTAAAAGCAAGATGATACCTTTTGTAAAAGCATATTTTCCTTTTCCTTGGCCTCATCGGGGTCTCTGTAGAAGGAAAGAGCAAACATGACATCTTCATCTTCCTTTTCACCGACCTGGTAGATTTGTTGTTGGCTTTTCTGGATTCGAACTTAATCGAATCGGCGGTGGTAACTTCTTGCTTCATCGGCCTCTGCGGCTGCCTATTCATCCCGTACAACCCAAAGTGCGACTTGAACATTTTCACAACATCCTCAGCCTCCACCTTGAAAAGCGAGCATAGCAACGGCGTCACCACCGGTCCTGATGTGACAAAGTTGACACGTATCCCGTACGCGCCCAGCTGCAGACTCGCTGACCTCATCAACCCCAACACCGCATGCTTCGACATCGTGTAGTCCATGAAGAATGATAAAAAGGACTGCAAATGGGAGAGCGGTAAAGAGGGAGAAAGAATGTAGAGCATTGAGAGTAGCAGATCTTCCTGGGCTTGGCGTCGTGAGCCAATATGTTGGGGGAGAGCGCGTGGCCGGGATTACTGGAGATCATTGAGGCGAGCGACGCCATGGTTGCTGCCTTCACGAGAAGATGAAGAGAGATTTTGGTTGTGTTGATGGCTTCACGGAAGCGATGAATGATTAGGTGGGGAAAGGATGAGATTCGAATACCCTGTACCCAATACCGTGTACCAGATGTGTACCGCCCCTAAGATTTGAACACGCGTACAACTATTCAAAAATGTTAAATTGTTAACTTTCAGCGGGCTTTCTCTTCAATGACTAAACGCCACACCCAGATCGGAGAATTTGGTTGCCGGGTAGATTCTGGATGGCAGATCAGAAACAGAGGACGGGAGGTAATGAGAGAGATCGAGAGGTGGCGGTGGCTGAAGGTGGTGAAATGGTTGCGTGGTGGCTTTTGCAGATTCACGATGGATATTGTGGTGAGGTTTCACGGTGGTGAGATGAAAATGAAAGAGAACAGACATAGCTTTTCATGTCGTTTCCCACAGACGACGCCAAATGTTGATGTACAATTCGACATCATCTTCAGTTAGTGTCGCAACTGTCTTATCCGCCACTATATTATATTAAACCGACGCCACCTACTGACACTATAAGGCCCTTTTGTAGTAGTGTGAGAAGCCATTGTACCTTGTGGATTAGAAGCTTGAGATTGCCTTGGAGTTTATTGTTCTGGTTGTGGATTAAGAGTAAGAGAGCCGATACTTGAGTTCAAATTGGCCAATTCTACATAATACAAATACATGGACAACACAAAATGTGTTAGTTGTTATAAACTTTAAAGGGTAGTGTTATCCGCATATCTATTTTTGCTTATTTTTACTTCTTACACATCTTTTTAATTTTCAACCGTCAGATCGAATAAATTAAAAAAATCAATAACAAATAATTAACAATAATGCGTAAGAAGCAAAAATGAGCATGTGATAGAATTATTCACTTTAAAAGCTTACAAAAGTAGCTAAACACTTAGAAAAAATAAAAACAAAGCAAGCCTAATATTGATATTAAATTAAGTATTTATTTAATTTTTGCAATGCAGATCAGTTTCGGTTGGGTTTCAAAACTGCAAAAATGGAACCGATTGATGCTATTTTGATTTGGTTTCGTATTTCGGTTTTGATTTTCGGTTTCAAATACAGTCCCCTGTATGCTGGTCTTCATCAACACGCTAAATTTGAAGCTCGTTTCGTTTCACCTAAACGCACTGCAAAACCCTACTCTCACTCAGACTCCAATGCACCGGTGAACCCTACTAACAATTTCAATAAACCCTACCAAGCCTCCGAGTTAGCACGAGTCGACTCAGTCCGCTATCGACGAGTCTACCACCGAAACCGCCCCGGTTCCCGATGCCAGGAACGGGGTCGCTGAGCGAACGCCGGAGGAGATGGTAGCCAAGGGCATCGCTCGCGTGAAGAAACAGTTCCTTCGCCCTCCACCCATAAAAGCTCTCTCTAACGACCAGAACGACGCCGTCCCGGAGGGGAAACCAAAGGCTCCCCAGCTGTTTGCTTAAGACAATAATTTTGATAATTTTGTTTTTCTTCAACATTGCAGGCAGCGAAATCGGCAGCAGGCATCTGCCCGGAGGTGGCGAAAAGAGGAGATGTTAGCCGGTGCCCGTACAACGATAAATGCCGGTTCAGCCACGACATAGAGGCTTATAAAGCTCAGGTAATACGAAATGAATTCGAATGCTGCCTGAGTAGTAGTTGAATTTTTGCTTCATTGGGTTTTATTGTAAACAAAATGATATGTGGGGATGGCTTTTATGAGGATTCAATTGTTTGTCGAGTGTAGAAACCTGAGGATATAGAGGGAGAGTGTCCTTTCATGACTGCCCAGGAGACATGCCCATATGGGTTGGCATGTAGGTTCTTGGGTTCGGATAAAGACGGTGTTGAAGGTGGGGATTTGAGTGCTCGCAGAAGAAGCTCTGAGGTGAATGGATTGACCAAAGATGTTCAAAAGCTTTTGTGGAAGAATAAAATGAAGTTCCCCAAAGCAGACGCCAAACTCAAGGCTCTTGGGCTCGAGGTATTGACATACATCATCCTTTTACCCCTAATAATGTCTCTTTCTCTGTATGTGTGTGCGCGTACAGGTGCATTTATATGCATGCTTGTGCAAAGAAGGATTCTTTGTTGTGATCCCATGATGCTATAATTTGCAATATTTCTATGACAATAATCCTCATTTTTTTTTTCTGTTCTGTTATTATTTACCTTAGTTACTTATCTGCATCTTGCAGTGAATATAGAGTACTTGATGTTGAATAAATTCACTGGGCAATTTAAGGAATGTTAAAAAATCCATTGATTTGGAATATGAATATGAATATGAAGCTGGAAAAAAAAAAAACAAATGAAAGGTGCAGTTGTGAACTTAAATGTTCTTAGTATGAAGGTTTCAGATTGACAAGTGCTGTGCTTAAATGTTTTACGACACAAAAACTTTGAATTGATAAACTGATTAGATATCTTTTGGATGTATTTGCTTCTATGTAAAAAATGCCATAATCTTATTACGTTAATTTGTTCTAGAGAGTGATAGAAGCCTAAGACTACACCCACGTGAAAAGAAGCTTATTGATTTTAGAGAAAAGTTGTACCTTGCACCTCTGACCACTGTTGGAAACCTTCCATTCCGAAGGGTTTGCAAAGTGTTAGGAGCAGATATAATCAGTGGTGAAATGGCAATGTGCACAAATCTTTTGCAGGTTCATGATATGCTTTTTCCAGCTGATCATTATTATTGTTATTGTTTTACAAGAAAATACAACAACAACAACAACAACAACAACAAAGTCTTTTCTCACTAAGTGGGGTCGGCTATATGAATCCTAGAACGCCATTGCGCTCGGTTTTGTATCATGTCCTCCGTTAGATCCAAGTACTCTAAGTCTTTTCTTAGGGTCTCTTCCAAAGTTTTCCTAGGTCTTCCTCTACCCCTTCGGCCCTGAACCTCTGTCCCGTAGTCACATCTTCGAACCGGAGCATCAGTAGGCCTTCTTTGCACATGTCCAAACCACCGTAACCGATTTTCTCTCATCTTTCCTTCAATTTTCGGCTACTCCTACTTTACCTCGGATATCCTCATTCCCAATCTTATCCTTTCTCGTGTGCCCACACATCCCACGAAGTATCCTCATCTCCGCTACACCCATTTTGTGTACATGTTGATGCTTCACCGCCCAACATTCTGTGCCATACAACATCGCTGGCCTTATTGCCGTCCTATAAAATTTTCCCTTGAGCTTCAGTGGCCTACGACGGTCACACAACACGCCGGATGCACTCTCTTACACTTCATCCATCCAGCTTGTATTCTATGGTTGAGATCTCCATCTAATTCTCCGTTCTCTTGCAAGATAGATCCTAGGTAGCGAAAACGGTCGCTTTTTGTGATCTTCGCTAGATTGCTCCGGTCATTAGTGTGGATAAGTATATAAATGGATAGAGATAGGAAAGCAAACACAAGATGTACGTGGTTCACCCAGATTGGCTACGTCCACGGAATAGAGGAGTTCTCATTAATTGTGAAGGGTTTACACAAGTACATAGGTTCAAGCTCTCTCCTTTAGTGAGTACAAGTGAATGATTTAGTACAAATGACATTAGGAAATATTGTGGGAGAATGATCTCGTAATCACGAAACTTCTAAGTACCGGAAGTGTGGTATCGTCTTGACTTGCCTTATCTGTCTCATAGGTAGATGCGGCATCTTCTCTGTAAGTACTCTTCCTCCATCCAGGGGTGGTATCTTTAACTGGTGGAGATGCACAAGGTAATGTATCAATTTCACTTGAAGCTTACTTGTAGTTTCAGGCTTGGTCAAGCGCGATACAAACCATGTAGTAGGAGTCCCCCAAGTCGCCGAGCTAGGGGATCTGCTGAAAGAGGTGACAGACAAGGTAAGCAATCAGAGCTCCAAGCAATCAGTCCCAGATCAGAAGTTTGATTTCGAGTTCCGGCTGATTGTTCTCATTCTCCCTATCTTGCAGGCAGCATGAAGGATAAAGAGAAGAAAAATGAGAAGAGATGATATGGAGATACTTTTGCTTTTGAAGAAGTAACTTTCCACAGGCTTATTCTTGAACTGGGCTGGAGGGTTTTTCTGGTTTCCTCCAGAGTATAAGGCCGACTGAAGAATTTGAGGGTCAAAACAAGTCCATCAAATCTAGAGTACGTTCGACCCTGCTGATATGGGATACTTTTGCTTTTGACAAGAGTAGTGGATGTATCGGCACGTGTGCTGTTACGCTTGTCTCCACATGCTTCCTTGTATCCTTCTCACTTGCCCTATCTGTTCCTCAGGCAGATGCGGTATCTTCCCTGGAAGCATAAGATGTTGAAGATGAGTACTCGAGAGCAATGTAAGTTCCACCAGGCAAGCTCAGCTGATTCCTGGACTTGATTGACTGCTCTCTTTCTCCTTGTCTTGCAGGTAAGAACAAGGCCAAAGGAAAAGACAGGGAAAAAGCATGATATGGGATACTCTTGCTTTTAACCCTGATGATATGAGATATTCTTGCTCTAGTATAGCTTGTTTGCAGAGGTATTATCGGGGGGAAAGAAAGCTGAATATTTCGAAAGGCTTCGTTGGGAGTGCCCTCTCAGATATGAGGAAGGGTTGAGCATTTTTGCAGGTCTGCCTGTCCGTTGGGGATGGAGGTCGACATATATAGGAGTCTCCCTAACAACAAGTAGTAATGCTATTCCTTTACCCTGCTTGGTCATAGCACGGTAGTGGGAGCTGCCAGCTTCACGTGTTTTAACTCTGTCAGAGCACTTTGAAAAAGTGGTCTGTGGTATCTGGAAAGCTGATGTTGCGTGTGAAGATTACAGACAAGCTTTATCCAAGGAGATCTGGCTCTTCGAAGTTGGGAAAGTGGTGCCTCTTCGGTTTTTCGAACAAGCAATCCTGTCGGGGATCTGGCTCTCGAGATTCGGAGAACGATGCCTCTTCGATTTTTGAGAAAGCAATCCTGCTGGGGGTCTGGCTCTCGAGATTCGGAGAGCGGTGTCTCTCTTCGATTTTTGAGAAAGTAATCATGTTGGGAGTCTGGCTCTCGAGATTCGGAGGGCGGTGCCTCTTCGATTTTGGAGCAAGCAATCTTGTTGGGAGTGTTTTCTCGAATGTGAGTAAAGGTTGGGCATGTTTGCTAGTCTACCTTGCCACGAAGCACAGAGGTTGACACACAGGGACTTTCCAATTATCCAGCAGTGGTACTGTTCCTTTACCCTTGTGGGTAATAATATGGTAGCTAGACCTTCAAAATTTATGTGTCTAAACTTTGTTAGTGTTGTTTCTTTGCTATTCTTTTACCCTTCTTGGTCAGAGCGATGTAGTGGGAGCTGCAAGCTTCACGTGTCTCAACTTTGTCAGAGAACTTTGGCAAAGTTATCTGTGGTACCCATGAGCTAATGTTGCGTGTGGGAAAGTGGGTGATTGAACAGTAAGATTCATGTGCTTTCTACTTCACCAGAAATCTTCGACAGAATGCCCGTAATTTCCGCAAAGCTGAGTGTGCATGTGACAGGTGCTGACAAGGCTGGAAAAAGTAGGTGCCTCTTCGATTTCTGAGATCGGCCCTCGTGGTCTCTGAGCAGCCCAGCTTTTGAGAAAGCAAGCGCCTCTTCGATTTCTGAGATCGGCCTTCGTGGTCTTTGAGCAGCCCAGCTTTTTGAGAAAGCAAACGCCTCTTCGATTTCTGAGATCGACCCTCGTGGTCTCTGAGCAGCCCAGCTTTTGAGAAAGCAAACGCCTCTTCGATTTCTGAAGCTCCGTCGAGTGCAGATTTTTATAGAGGCTGGACATTAAGTTCCAAAGCACACTTGAATCTCCACCAGTAGAAGCTCCAATTCTTGCACTTCTAAGATCTTGATTTGTCCGACCTCTTCTCTCTTCAACACCTTTGAAAATGTCTGGCATCTCCGACCGTCGTTTTGACTTGAACCTTGTTGAAGAGGCAGCCACGCCTTCTCCAGACAACATATGGTGCCCATCCTTCGTCTCCCCTACTGGTCCTCTTACCGTTGGGGATTCCGTGATGAAGAATGATATGACCGCTGCGGTGGTGGCCAGGAACCTTCTCACTCCCAAAGATAACAGACTACTTTCCAAACGGTCTGATGAGTTGGCTGTTAAGGATTCTCTGGCTCTTCAGTGTTCAGTGTGCAGGTTCTGTGTCTAATATGGCCCAACGCCTATTTGCTCGAACCCGCCAAGTTGAATCATTGGCGGCTGAAGTGATGAGTCTCAAACAGGAGATTAGAGGGCTCAAGCATGAGAATAAACAGTTGCACCGGCTCGCACATGACTATGCTACAAACATGAAGAGGAAGCTTGACCAGATGAAGGAATCTGATGGTCAGGTTTTACTTGATCATCAGAGGTTTGTGGGTTTGTTCCAAAGGCATTTATTGCCTTCGTCTTCTGGGGCTGTACCGCGTAATGAAGCTCCAAATGATCAACCTCTGATGCCTCCTCCTTCTAGGGTTCTGTCCAGTACTGAGGCTCCGAATGATCCCCCTCCGGTGCCTTTCTCTTTCTGGGGCTCTACCGACTGCTGAGACTTCTCCTAAGCAACCTTTGTGAAGGCTCCCTCTTGTTTGTTTATTTTGACTCATGTATATGTACATATTTGTAACTTATCGGGGATATCAATAAATAAGCTTTGCTTCATTTCAACGTATTGTGTTAAATACACCAAAGCCTTCTTCGCTAAGTTCTTTGAATTTTTCTTTTGTTGAAGCTTGTATGTTGAAGCTTTGTGAGTGGAGCATGTAGGTTTGAGGTAGTGTTCCCTTAATTTCCCGAGTGAGGAAAACTTCTCGGTTGGAGACTTGGAAAAATCCAAGTCACTGAGTGGGATCGGCTATATGAATCTTAGAACGCCATTGTGCTCGGTCCTGTGTCATGTCCTCGTTAGATCCAAGTACTCTAAGTCTTTTCTTAGAGTCTCTTCCAAAGTTTTCCTAGGTCTTCCTCTACCCCTTCGGCCCTGAACCTCTGTTCCATAGTCGCATCTTCTAATCGGAGCGTCAGTAGGCCTTCTTTGCACATGTCCAAACCACCGTAACCGATTTTCTCTTATCTTTCCTTCAATTTCGGCTACTCCTACTTTACCCGGATATCCTCATTCCTAATCTTATCCATTTCTCGTGTGCCCACACATCCAACGAAGCATCCTCATCTCCGCTACACCCATTTTGTGTACGTGTTGATGCTTCACCGCCCAACATTCTGTGCCATACAGCATCGCCGGCCTTATTGCCGTCCTATAAAATTTTCCCTTGAGCTTCAGTGGCATACGGCGGTCACACAACACGCCGGATGCACTCTTCCACTTCATCCATCCAGCTTGTATTCTATGGTTGAGATCTCCATCTAATTCTCCGTTCTTTTGCAAGATAGATCCTAGGTAACGAAAACGGTCGCTCTTTGGTATTTCTTGATCTCCGATCCTCACCCCTAACTCGTTTTGGCCTCCATTTGCACTGAACTTGCACTCCATATATTCTGTCTTTGATCGGCTTAGGCGAAGACCTTTAGATTCCAACACTTCTCTCCAAAGGTTAAGCTTTGCATTTACCCCTTCCTGAGTTTCATCTATCAACACTATATCGTCTGCGAAAAGCATACACCAAGGAATATCATCTTGAATATGTCCTGTTAACTCATCCATTACCAACGCAAAAAGGTAAGGACTTAAGGATGAGCCTTGATGTAATCCTACAGTTATGGGAAAGCTTTCGGTTTGTCCTTCATGAGTTCTTACGGCAGTCTTTGCTCCTTCATACATATCCTTTATAGCTTGGATATATGCTACTCGTACTCCTTTCTTCTCTAAAATCCTCCAAAGAATGTCTCTTGGGACCCTATCATACGCTTTTTCCAAATCTATAAAGACCATGTGTAAATCCTTTTTCCCATCTCTATATCTTTCCATCAATCTTCGTAAGAGATATATTGCCTCCATGGTTGAGCGCCCTGGCATGAACCCGAATTGGTTGTCCGAAACCCGTGTCTCTTGCCTCAATCTATGCTCAATGACTCTCTCCCAGAGCTTCATTGTATGACTCATTAGCTTAATATCCCTATAGTTCATGCAATTTTGTACGTCGCCCTTATTCTTGTAGATAGGCACCAAAGTGCTCGTTCGCCACTCATTTGACATCTTCTTTGTTTTCAAAATCCTACGAAAAGGTCAGTGAGCCATGTTATACCTGTCTCTCCCAAAACTTTCCACACTTTGATCGGTATATCGTCTGGGCCTACTACTTTTCTATGCTTCATCTTCTTCAAAGCTACAATCACTTCTTCCTTCCGGATTCGACGATAAAATGAGTAGTTTCTACACTCTTCTGAGTTACTCAACTCCCCTAAAGAAGCACTCCTTTCATGTCCTTCATTGAAAAGATTATGAAAATAACCTCTCAATTTGTCTTTGACCGCGTTCTCTGTAGCAAGAACCTTTCCATCCTCATCCTTGATGCACCTCACTTGGTTTAGGTCCCTTGTCTTCTTTTCCCTTGCTCTAGCTAGTTTATAGATATCCAACTCTCCTTCTTTGGTATCTAGTCGCTTATACATATCGTCATAAGCCGTTAACTTAGCTTCTCTCACAGCTTTCTTCGCCTCTTGCTTCGCTTTTCTATACCTTTCACCATTTTCATCGGTCCTATCCTTGTATAAGGTTTTACAACATTCCTTCTTAGCCTTCACCTTTGTTTGTACCTCCTCATTCCACCACCAAGATTCCTTTTGGTGTGGAGCAAAGCCCTTGGATTCTCCTAATACCTCTTTTGCTACTTTTCAGATACAACTAGTCATCGAATCCCACCTTTGGCTAGCTTCCCCCTCTCTATCCCACACACACTGGGTGATTACTTTCTCTTTGAAAATGGCTTGTTTTTCTTCTTTTAGATTCCACCATCTAGTCCTTGGGCACTTCCAAGTCTTGTTTTTTTTTCTCACTCTTTTGATATGTACATCCATCACCAACAAGCGATGTTGATTAGCCAAGCTCTCTCCCGGTATAACTTTGCAATCCTTACAAGTTATACGATCCCCTTTCCTCATTAGAAGAAAATCTATTTGTGTTTTTGACGACCCACTCTTGTAGGTGATCACATGTTCTTCTCTCTTCTTAAAGAAGGTGTTGGCTAAGAAAAGATCATATGCCATTGCAAAATCCAAGATAGCTTCCCCATCCTCGTTTCTCTCCCCAAAACCATGGCCACCATGAAAACCTCCATAGTTGCCTGTCTCCCTGCCCACGTGTCCATTTAAATCTCCTCCTATAAATAACTTCTCCGCTGAGTAATTCCTTGCACCAAGTCTCCAAGGTCTTCCCAAAATTTCTCCTTCGAACTCGTATCCAACCCTACTTGAGGTGCGTACGCACTAATCACATGGATAAGTTCTTGTCCTATTACAATCTTGATTGCTATGATTCTATCTCCTACCCTCTTGACATCTACAACATCTTGTGTCAAGGTCTTGTTCACGATGATGCCAACACCGTTTCTCGTTCTATTTGTGCCCGAATACCAAAGTTTAAACCCTGAGTTTTCTAGATCCTTTGCCTTATGACCAACCCACTTAGTTTCTTGTAGGCACATAATATTTATCCTTCTCCTCACCATAACTTCCACTACTTCCATAGATTTTCCCGTTAAGGTTCCTATATTCCACGTTCCTAAACGCATTCTGCTCTCTTGAACTCTACCCTTATGTCCTAGCTTCTTCACCCTCCCTCGTCTAATAGGATCAAAGTACTTTTTTTGTGTGTCCCGTGTAAAGTTGATAGGAGCATATGCTCCCAAACAACTTTGAGTGGAGTCGTTCGAAAAGAAGTTTCTATGGCCCCCTTGCTCATTTAACACTGCATCCGGGTGCCGATGGAGATACAGCGACCCTTGCTCATTTATCACTGTGCTTGGGCCACACAGCGCGCCACTTACGGGTGACGCCCTAGTTTTAGCGCGATTTCGTTCTGGATTCATTTTCATAAGGATTTGACGTAACCATGGAGTGTCGGCTGTCGACTACCTGACGCCCTCCCCCTCCTCCTTTATCCGGGCTTGGGACCGGCAATGTGAGATAAACTTACACAGGCGGAGTTATTGTTTTACAAGAAAATGACTTTGTAAAAATTAATCGGTTAGTTTAAAATTTGAATGGATCTCAAATGATCTTAATGATAAGTATATTATGAGAATTCATCTGCAAAGTGTGCAACATCCCATAATTAAAATTTGAGTATTATTTATTATGTCTTCTAAGATATTGAACATACAATATTTGATGTGAAAATAAATTGTATTTTATACATTCCAAAATGAATTTATTCTTTTCTCTGGTGTTTATGGAGGTTCATGCTTAGCAATATGGCTAGTGATGCTGTTACTTCATACAATTTAACTTGCCTAAGATGGGTATTTAGGCGATCTGAATATGATAGTATTATTCCAAAGCGTGCACCGGAACGAAAGCATGCTTTTCCATCTCCACAGTTCGGCAATGTATGCCACAACACGTAGGCAACACTAGGATCAACAGTGTTTTCTTCTTAAACTGTTGTTAGGCTAATTGTTTTTCTTCGTATTTACAATTTTTTTTTTTTGGTGGTTTTGTATTTTACATGGTTGATGTTGTACTCTACTATCCAGTGTCACATTTTTCTAAGTGCAATTTTCGTATGGAAATAGGGTCAAGCATCAGAATGGGCACTGCTGAGGTGACATTCATCCGAGGATTTGTTTGTGTTCAGATATGTGGATCACATCCAGACACTGTGGCACACACTGTTGACCTAATAGATCAGGAATGTCAAGTGGACTTTATTGATATAAATATGGGGTGCCCAATTGATATTGTTGTGAACAAGGGTGCTGGGTCAGCTCTTCTTACAAAACCCATGCTGATGAAAGGCATTGTACAAGCAGCTTCTGGTACCGTCGACAGTCCTATAACTATTAAGGTACTGAATTCTATTCATGTTCTACACAACTCTGAACAAAACAGTCTACATCAATCTGCAAGATAGCAGGTTTGGCTGAATAATGTGTTTCATTTTTTTAAATTGTTTTGTTCCAAAATGATGACATGTTTTCTCTGCCGTCATGGCCTCTTTGATATCTTTTCTGTTTGATTGCTTCTTAAGTGAACTTCTTCTTAAGTGAACTTCTAGGTTTTAAGGTTGTCCGCGAAATGTTATACTGCTGCTTTACTGTTTCTAAACCAGGACAGCCTATTTTGAGGGGAAAAATCGCATTGATTCCACTTATTGCGGACATGGGAAACTGGGGAGCTAGTGCAGAGTTGAATATCAGAGTGCGCAACGAACAAGACTAACAAAATAAGAATATTATTAAATAAACAAGAATGCCGAAATGGCTACAAAACCCTAAGAGACTACATTGTGAATGACTTCTCTAAACTGAATAACAAGCATGCTATTTATAATAAACTAACCCTAACCTAAAAAGGTAAGAAACCGAAACCCTAATGTTAACGGGCTAAGCCCAGAAAACCAAATATTCAAATAAACTAAAATCCTAATATTTTCCAACACCCCCCGTCAAACTCATGACGGTATACGACATGAGTTTGCAAACAAGCAGATGCAGACTGGCTCCGTTAGGCGGACTGGCAGACATGCAAACTTGACTTGACTTTACTGGCGAACTTAACTTGACTTGACTGACAAATTGATTCTTGATTCTTGATTCTTGACTTGATTCTTGATTCTGACTGGCAAACTAGTTCTGGTTCAAATTGGTTAGTTTTGAGAGTATGGAAAGAACCCGTCTATAAACAGACGAGATTTTCATATCTCAATTTTAGCAACGAACAAACAAACACAAGGTTCTATCACTCAAGTGTTCACAAGTCCAAACACTCAAGTGACAGACAAACAAACTCGCAACACTTATCCGTGTGGGCCTTAAAAAACTTCAAACCAAAAATGCCCATCTTTTCCCAGCCAATTCTTTCTCATTGCCCGTGTGGGCCTTACAAAAATCAAACAGTTTTTTTTTTTTTTTTGTCTTTTTTCAACACTTTGATCAAAGTAAAAGTCCATCTGATCAAAATATATTGTCATCATCATACAATACTTGGATTCATCAGAATTGAAGACAGGGGCCAACGGAGCAGCCTCGCACAACAGCAGTTCCTCGACAACCTGGATTCGATTTGGTAGCCGTATCGACGGTCAACAAACAACAAGTGCAAACGTGAGCAGCAAGTGAGTGGCTCTCAGGCAGCGGGTACCGCAGTGGCGAACCATGAATGGATTGGGTACGGGTTGATCAACGGGTCTGGCAACAAGTGGTGCGCAGCGCCGTGCTAATCTGATGTGGGATGGATCTGGGTGCGACGGCAGTGAGTCATGCAGGCGATGGTGGGGTGGTTATGGATACTGAGCTTGGTGGCTTCAATTACAGACTTTACAAGATGGCAGTTTTTCTTTTCCAGATTCTTTTGTTTTTCAAACTACACCAACGACAATCTAAACCAGAAATAAACAACAGACAACACAAACAAACATACTGATACGAATCAAGAACAGATTAAATCCGAAGGATCAAACTGCTCTGATACCAAGTTGAATATCAGAGTGCGCAACGAACAAGACTAACAAAATAAGAATATTATTAAATAAACGAGAATGCCGAAACGGCTACAAAACCCTAAGAGACTACATTGTGAATGACTTCTCTAAACTGAATAACAAGCATGTTATTTATAATACACTAACCCTAACCTAAAAAGGTAAGAAACCAAAACCCTAATGTTAACGGGTTAAGCCCAGAAAACTAAATATTCAAATAAACTAAAATCCTAATATTTTCCAACAGTAACAATACATGGTCGATCTCGACAGCAACGCTACAGCGAGCTTGCAGTTTGGGAATATGTTTACTAGTGTGCCAGAAAGGCACCTGAGGCTTTGCCAGTACTTGGAAATGGAGACATATTTTCATATGTAGATTGGAACAAGCACCAGGCTGAATGCCCTGAGCTTTCTACATGCATGATTGCTCTTTCTACATGCATGATTGCTCGAGGAGCACTAATTAAGGTTTGTACTTTGTAGCTTGTCTTGTCCTTAACTGTCTCCCTCTGCCGCATTTACTCTTGTTTATTTTTCTTTGTATTTTTATTTATCTTGTAGTATATTCCTGAAATACACACACACATTTATGTATTTATCTTTCCTGTATTTGTATCAACCAATTTTAAAACTTGTAATATCTAACCATCCTTGTGATTTTCAGCCTTGGAGTTTTACTGAAATAAAGGAGCAGAGGCACTGGGACATAAGTTCTGGGGAGCGATTAAATATATTGAAGGATTACGTACGTCTTGGCCTTGAACATTGGGGCTCTGACACAAAAGGTTTGTATAATTAGACATATCATCAGTAATTTACTCAGCTAGAGTTTTCTTAGGGTACTGTGGTACTCCGAAAAGGTCATCCTGCATTTCTCCATGTGCAAATTCTCCCTTATGAAATTGTTGGGGAGGGGTGCATGATTGACTTATTTGGAGTGCTGATAACATCCCTCTTTTTGTTGTTATTAATATTTTTTTTTTTGTTTTTTTGTTTTTTGGTATGGCATTATATTGAAACTGTGCCCTCACAGGATGTTTTGCTCTTTTCATTGAGCTGATCGGGTAACTGGTTACCAACTTCATGTTGGTTTCTACTTAAAAGTTTTACTTTCTTTTCAGCAGTTAATCTATGGTATAATTAGTTGGACTGGTATCTATGTCCCAGGTGTGGAGACAGGTGTTTTCTGTTAGAATGGCTTAGCTACACTTGTAGATATGTACCTGTTGGTCTTCTAGATGTCATTTCACAACGGTTGAACTGGCGCCCCGCCATCCTATTATGCCCGTGATGACCTTGAGACACTAATGGCTTCTGCTGATTGGGTATGGCTTGCCTTCTCTTACAACTGATTCAATTTCACTGAGCTGACCTACTTAAAAATGCAGATTCATGACAATTGCAGGTTAGGGTCTGTGAGATGTTGCTTGGAAAGGTTCCAGATGTTTTTACATTTGCACCAAAGCACAAATCCAATTCTTACGACCAAGCAGAAAATGGCTGATTTTGCATGGTTTCTCATGCTGCGTATGGACTATAATCTCACACGTCCATGTGGGTGAAACCTGACCTACTCTAGCTGCCTCCTGCCTCATATCAAGTCTAATCGCTGCAAAAATGCAAGCCAGCAGTTCATAAGTTCCTTTGGTAGGTGTCCATTTATCCACTGGTCCCTGAAATCGAAAGCTGTTTGATTAAAATGCTAACATTCTTGTTACGTATGTTATAATTCGTATTTAAAAAGCATTTGGTATGTTGTTTTAAAGTAGTGCCTCAAGGTAAAATGTAATTTGGATGTGTACTACCGCATTGGTAGGTCTTTGGTGTTTCGGTTTAGTCCATGGTTGTGAGGAGTCATTCCCATTGAAGTTACTCGGTGTAGGAACGATGTTGGTTCCGTACTTTCATGTAATTTAGTTTGGTAGTTGACCTGAATTGGAATATAAATCAGTTTGATTACTAAAATGCATAAGCTGGCGGGTTAATTACTATATGCATGGAAGATAAAGTCGCTTATGTGGCTAGCTTAAACATTATGTTTAACCCACTTGGCACCGCAATATAGTGCTATTTTTCTTTACTTGTAAGTGGGAGGTTTTAAATAGCTTGAACTCAATAACGAGCCTGAAGCTTTTTGTTTTGGTTGATAAAGGCTTGTATAAGTAGCAAGTCAAGCTAACTGGAGCTTGAAATATATTAAACAAGCCAAGTTTGAGCGAAGTAATGTTGGGTTTCGCTCGGGTTTTTACAGCCGTAGCGATAGAAATGAGTAACAAGTGGTAAAAATACCTGATTTGATCAATGAAATAAGTTTTATAGCTTAATGAGTGATGTTTCTTGTTGCAGTCTCAAGTTTGTATATTATTTGTTGGGTAGTGTTATGAGATCAAATTTTTTTAAATCAAATGATATATCATTAATAAGAAACAAGCACGTTAATCGATACTTATTTAATAATCCAATCATCTACAACTACATCATTTGGTTTAAAAAATTTGGTCTCCTTAACATTACTTTTATTTGTTAGTTGGTAAAGCTTTTTTTGTTTTTGCACCGTGTGCCTCGTGTGATTTTTATCAGGCAGCGCATTTCTATGAAAAGGTGCTTTAAAGCCCCTGGTCCTGATGGTATTCATGCTTCCTTCTATCAAGGTTGTTGGCAAACTGTGAGTAGTACTATGACTAATCTTGTAATAAACCAATTTTTCACTAATTGCTCTAGCCTAAGACTAATTAATCACACTAATATTTGGCTTAATCCCTAAAATTGAGAGCCCTGAATTGGTTTCTACTTATAGACCGATAAGTCTCAGTTATGTAAGTTACAAAATTATTACCCAAGTTTTGATCAATAGACTGAAACCGTTAGTAGAGGGTTGTATCTCAAAAAATCAAAGCATTTTTTCCCCGGAAGATGTATTTATGATAATATTCGTATTGCTCATGAATTGTTTGCTACTTTAAGATAAAAAGGCAGAACTCAGTTGCATCTTGAGAAAGCTTATTATTTATTTAGCTGGGACTATATGAAAGTTGTGTTAACTATATTTGGGTTTGAGAACCATTGGATTAAGTGTATTACCTCAATCTCTTTCTCCATTCTCCTCAATGGTAAAGATTATGGTTATTTCTATGGGTTTTCTAACTTTAATCCTTGAAGAAGTTTGAAATTTAAAATGAATATGATGTTAGATTACACATTGATTATAGTCCCTTGATATGTCCCCCATTAAATATTTAAATTTATTAATATAAACATTTTAATTTATTTTTTCACCAAAAAAAGTTTTTTTTTTATTTATTAATTTTATTTAACATTCTTCAAACTTGAAAGACTCAATTCATGTACCTAAATATTAGTACCGAAATGTATTATATTGAATTAAAGTATTTAAATTTTGGTACCAAAATGTATGCACAAAAATGTATTATATTAAATTAATGTACCTAAATGTGCGTACTGAAATGTATGCACCGAAATGTGTGCACCAAAATTTATTAGATATATTGAATTCATGTACCTAAATGTTTATATCGAAATGTATGTACCAAAATGTGTGTACCTAAATGTATGTACTGAAATGTATTATAATAAATTTAATGTACCTAAATAAAGAAAACAAAGTATATCGAAATATATTGAATAACAAAAATTAGTTTATCTAATTGTTTACGACAAAATATATTACGATGAAAGAGATGATCATTATAATTATAATGAAATAAAATTAATTCATTAAAATTAGGAAGAAAAAGAGAAATAGTTAAACAAGGGGATTAGAATGAAATTTAAAAGTCATATTTGCCGAGGATTAGAATGAAGTTTCCTATTATTTCTATCCCACTAGGGACATTAGACAAGGGGATCCTCTTTCCCCTTATCTTTTATTTTGTGCATTGAACCTTTGATCATTCATTTGAACACGCTAGCAAGTACCCCCAAGTCTAATGATTACTTACTTCTCCTTGTGGCTTCAAAATTTCAAAATTTGTGTTTGCTGATGATTGACTCATTTTCGCAAGGGCTTCTGGTAATGCAGCTAGGAACATCCTCAAGATACTAAACTGGTTCACTTCTACTTCAAGGTAAAAGGTAAACGTTCAATTTTTTTTATTATAGTTTTCTATAATACAAACTGTCAGTTGAGAAACAATGTTGTTAATATTATGCAAATTCAACATAAAACTACCATTGGTATATACTTAGCTATACATGATATTATCTTTTGGAAAGGTTCTGCTAATTCAAAGGAGCTGATTGTTAGAATGAAAATCAAACTTGCTGGCTGGAAAGCAAACACTCTTTCTAGAGCTGGGAGACTAACTCTAATCAAGTCCAATCTCACTGCATGCCAAACCACATCATGACTTGCTTTAAATGTCCACATGTTCTTAATAAAACCTTAAATAAGGAATGTAAGATGTTCCTTTGGGGTGAGAATAACAAGTCCAGTTGCTTGGGATAAAGTGTGTCAACCAAAATGTATTGAAAATGGTTTGAGGTGGATGGTGGGAAATAGTAGAACCATTTTGTTCTGGACCCACAATTAGGTTTTTCCTTTCCCTTTCTTCCATCTTATCCCTGAATCCCAATGGTCATTATTGATTGGAACTTGAAAGTAAATCAACTCACATGTAACAACAATTGGAACATGCACTTGCTATTACAGCTTGTGGGTGTTGATATTGTTAACAAAATTTGTAGTATCCCTTTGCCCTTAAATGAGGTTGATGATTCCTTTTGTTGGGGCCTAAATGCTAATGGTGATTTCTCTATTAAATCTGCTACTTGAAATCATAACAGTAGCAGATGTACTAAATATTAGATAGCAATTGTTAACAAGAATGTGAAAGTTAAATATTTCTCGTAAGTCAGTCAAACTTTTCAGCTAGTTAATGATCCTCAATAAATTGCAAACTCGCGCAGGGTTATACAAACACATTAGTTCAATTTGTCTTGACTGTCATTTATGTCATACAAATAATAAGGATCAAGATCATTTGTTTATCAATTGTAATTTTAAAAGATAGGATTGGGCTACAATTCTAAATATATCACCTTAATGATAACAATCCTTTGGGATTGTTGGAATGGCTTCGTTAATTCCTATTAATCTGCTGGCAAATTTGGAAAGATAGAAATAATGTGGTTTTTAGAAATGAAAAACCTTTCATAATAGAGTATATATGTTAGCTCTGGTGAGTCTGCTTTGTTGCTGGAGCAAGAAGCCTGGGAGAGAATAGCAATTTTGTAGTTGAGGCTTTAGCTTTGAGGGATGCCCTTTGGTTGGCTAAAGGAAAGTGGTTCAAGAAAGTTTGTGTGGAAGGTAATTCTAGACTAGTTTATTGATGCAATTAAAGGCTTATGCTCTTCCCCTTGACGACCGAGGAACATCAATGAAGACATCTATTAGCTGGCGACTGATTTGAAAGGCATTTCATGGAACCATGTTTACAGGGGGCGAATTTCATGGCACATGCAGTCACTATCGCTAGTTTTAATTTTAATAAATTTCATGTTTGGAATAGAACTTTGTCTTCCGTCGCAAGGAAAGCCTTCTTGTTTGATTGTATTGGAACTGGGGTGTGATCAAGGTCACACTATGTAGTGTATTATTTTTCTTCATATAAAAACATGATTATTAACGATCTCGCCGCTTAATAACTCAACAAATTGTTTTTACTTGTTTTGCCAAAAGCTGATTATTCGTTTGTTATTACGCTATATGTTGATTAATATATCTTATTAATTTTGTGTCGTGAATATAGATAATGCATATACTTGATTTGATTTATGGTGTATTATCACCATCACATGAATAATAATAACAACAACAACAATAAAAAAATAAAATATAATAACAATAATAATAAACAACATTGTATGGAGATTTTTGCCAAATTTTATTGATTGAAATTTTCAAATGATTACATCGTACAACGAAGGTAGAAAACTTATTAGCACTTTTTGGCAGCCAGTAGTACTAAGGAGGGTAAAATCCTTGGCACGAGAATTGGGGCAAGGTAAAGAAGAATAGTTCATTTTTACAAGTTATTTTAGGTATAGCTCAAAGGTCTTTCATCCTTAGTCTGATAAATGGATTGTGACGATTGTGGACCAAAAGATTCTTCATAGTTTAATGTTTAATTTTTTATACCGAAGTCAGGTGGCATTCCAGATATCATGATGAGAAACTTTATGAATACTAAGTTTAAAAGGTCGTGTTTTTTCGAATAGACATTACAAGGGGGGTTTTAGCATAGTTTTGGGCCCCACAAACTTATTCATATTCTGCTCCATT